ATAAGAGTGATATAACAAATTATCAACTTCGAAACATTTCAAGTGGTCTTTGTCTACCACAACCACGTACCAATAATATGAAGAAGAGTTTTATGTATGATGGTGCTAAGCTCTGGAACTCTATTCCAAATGAAATTAGAGAGAGCAAATCCCTATCATGCTTCCAAAAGAAAATTGCCGCTCACATTTTTAATTAGACAACAAATGTTGTCATGTACAATGTAAATAGATTGTTATATTCCCATTACTCACTTTAATACCTGCATGCCTAATACTAATACTCTGTAAATAATTTTCTAAAGTTTATACTTCTGTAATGTCTTTTATACACGCCCCCTGTGGAAATCAGCTTCGGTTGACGGGGTTAGCGTGGTTAAATAAAGTTTATCTATCTATCTAACATTTCGCAACGAAACTTCGGAATATTACTAATTTTGTGATGCTCTTTCAAGCTGTGATGAAATGTTTGTCCAGGCATATCTAGATCAAAATTTCACTCATAAGGGGAAAGGTCTATTGGACGGATAGTTCTTGCTTGGGCAGTCATTAATTTTCATATATTTCCCGTAGCGCCTCACAGACTATCTGGTTTAAAAATCGGAGATTTAAATGCAGGGACTCATCAACAATTTTGTAGAAAACTAAACCTCGACATTCCTAATGATTGGAGAACTCTGGCAGGAGACATGAAGTACAATTACGAGCAAGTCCAAGAATTCGCTCAGGATGCAAATCCTGCAAAAAAATTACTGGACTGCTGGGGCACAGGTGAGGGACATGATGTTGCTTCCTTGATAAAACTCGTGAAAGGGATAAACAGGAATGACCTGGTTGAGTTGCTGGAATCTTAGCCCAACCCAACGAAATTTTATCTCTGACAAATGGAAGGTTTCGAATGTTTTTAAGGTACTCTTATCTTGACAATGAAAATCTAATATATTTTTCGACTTAACCTGGACACACCATGTATAATATGGGTAAATATCTAGATTTTGGACATCTTTGTTCGATAGATGGGTTTATTTGTCAAGGTCTATAAAAAATGTAGATTTTCAGACGAGAATTCCATTTACATACAATCAACCCATGTCATATTGATGTATTGATTAGTTCTATCAAGTGAAGATGCTTAGGGACGGGTCATTATTTATGGCGGGGGGTGGCACCGAAGAGAAAAAGGTTGGGTAATCAAAATTTTGAGTAAGTAAAAGGTTGGGTAAATGAAAAACAAAACAACTCAAGGGTTGGGTAATAAAAATTTATTGTCATTTCCAAAGCATGAACCACTGAAATATTGGACACTGAAAAGCAATGTCAACAGTCATTTGTCAATACAATATGTGAATCAATCAGAGTCAGTATCTTGGTCATTTTGACAAAACAAATGG